GGTAGAAATTCTAAAACCAGGAGCCAAGGGCCTGGGAATGTAGTTTCGTTGAAGGAAGGGCATGTTCCTTCCATGTATGAGGCTCTGGGTTCTGCCCTCCCCACTGCAGATTTTACTTAAAAAGAAAACAAAAACCAGCCTCCTCCTCGCCTGCCCATAGGCACTCTTCTGCTGTTTTCCTGCTCAGGCTAACTATGTGGGAAGGCAGCCATGAAAGGAATCTGAGAAAAGGCCTGGCAGAGCTGGACACCATATCTTAGGTCACATACTTGAAAACTGCTATCAAAAAAAGAAAAAGAAAAAAAGAAAGAAAGAAAAGAAAAAGAAAGGAAGGAAGGAATAAAAAAGAAAGAAAGAAAAAAAGAAAAGAAAAATTAGCCAGGCAGTGGTGACACACAACTTTAATTCCAGCAGAGTCCCACAGATCTGTGAATTTAAGGCCAGCCTGGTCTACAGAATGAGATCCAGGACAGCCAGGGCTACACAGAGAAACCTTGTCTTGAAAAACCAAAAAAGAAGCTGGGCAGTGGTGGTGCACGCCTTTAATCACAGCACTTGGGAGGCAGGTGGATCTCTGTGAGTTCGAGGCCAGCCTGGTCTCCAAAGCGAGTTCCAGGAAAGGCGCGAAGCTACACAGAGAAACCCTGTCTTGAAAAACCAAAAAAAAAAAAAAAAGAAAAGAAAAGAAAAACCAAAAAAGAAAAAGGCGCATGAGTGTTTTGCCAGCATATATTGTTAATCCCCAAGATGCAAGAGGAGCATCCACCCAAACCATTAGACCACATTAACAAAGGCAAGCAATTGATTAAAACAGACCTTTTTACTCCTGAACTCCCAGGTGGAGTCTGAGAGGTCAGCAGTGGACAGGAGAAAGACAGGTTTTTATAGGGGTAAGAGGTTTCCAAAGGGGGCATTGGGCAGGCAAATAGGAAGGATTACTGGAGCAGAACATAAACATACAGGTTAGTCCTAACGACCTCCTGAAACAAAGGCATGATTGCAAGGTAGTATACCAAGGTAGTCATAACAACAGGTAGTCATAACAACCGTCTGAAACAAAGGTAGGGTACAAGATGGCTATAAACATTTTTTTGAAACAAAGACATGGTTGCTGGGACAGGCAGTTTAGAACAATTAGTTGTTTAGGTTATATTTGGACATAGCCCAGTCCCTGAGAAACAGAGGCTTAATCATAAACAGGAATGAGCCTAGTTTGTCTTTATGATAAGAAGTCTTTTAAGCCCAAGATGGAGGCAGGCTGGTTCATCAATAGGTCTGTGTACCATGTGTGTTCCTGGTGCCTGCTGAGGTCAGAAGAGGGTGTCGATCCCCTGGAACTGGAGTAATAGAAGGTTGTGAGCTGCCATGCAAGCACTAGGGATTGAACTCAGGTCCTCTGGAAAAGCTACAAGTGCTCTGAGCTGTCTCTCTAGACCCTGCCATTTATTTATTTTTGCACATTAAAGAAAAAAAAAGGCAGCTGAGATAGCAAGCGGGTAGGTGGTGTTCTGCGGTTTCTGTCCCAGCATCCTGCCCTGAGTTCCTTCCCTTGCTTCCCTGCAACTTGTAAGCCAAATAAACTCTTCTCCCCAAGTAGCTTTTGGCCATGGTGTTTATCACAGCAGCAGGACAATGTAGCAAACTAGACTGTGTAGCCCAGACTGGCTTGGAACTCACGTACCAAGGATGACCTTGAACTCCTGATCTTCCTGCCTTCACTCCTCAAATGCTGGGGTCACAGGGTCCACACTACCAAAAGTTGTTCATTTGTTGGCTTATTTGTTTTGTGGCACTTCAGTGTAGCTCAGGCTAGCTTCGAATTTGCTTCTACACGACAGCCTGGAACCAAGGTTGTCACTCTGTACAGCAGAGGTGAAGGAGTTATCTCTAGGTAAGGTGGGAGGTCTCTGTAGGGAAGCAGTCTCCCACTGTAAACATCAAAGAAGAGGAAACTGCTTTTCTACAAGCTGCCTGACATTTATTTTAAAAGTATTCAGAGGGCTGGAGAGATGGCTCAGCCGTTAAAGGCTAGGCTCACTACCAAAAGTATTCAGAGCCAGGAGTGCAGCTGGTGGAAAGAGTTCTATCAAGACTCAATCCTGCCGGGCGGCGCACGCCTTTAATCTCAGCACTCGGGAGGCAGAGGCAGGCGGATCTCTGTGAGTTCGAGGCCAGCCTGGTCTACAGAGTGAAATCCAAAACTACACAGAGAAACCCGGTCTCAAAAAACAACAAAAAATTACCCTGTAACATAGGGTGGTGTCCCTGGAGCTCTTAAGGACTTGTAATGTGTATTATTGAGCACCAGGTGGTGCCACAAAACCGTCTTACTTTCTCTCCTAACAACAAACGCAAAGTTTGTGTGGCACTGGAGTTCTGTCCTTTGCAGACTGGGACTTTTGCTAGTTCGGCTGTGTAGACCAGATTGGCCTTAAAGGTCCCCCTTTCTGGCCTCAGTCACTGGAGTGCTGGAATTACAGGCATGTGATAGCACATACCACATTGCCCCTCAAGACTGAGACTTAAAAACAAAAACAGCCACAAACCCGTGATTAAAGGGAGACCAGAAAGGGGCCAGAGGCTGGGGACACGGTGGCCTGTAGTGTCCCAGTGTTTCCCCTGTGGATGTCCCTGTGCCCTTAGAAAATTACATATATAAAAGGTGATATACGTAGTGAAACATGTTTATTTTTGGATCTTGGGGGGTTGGTGAGTGGATGGGGTGAGGTGGCGGGGATGGCTCAGTTGATAAAAGTACTTACTACCAAAGCACGGAAGGGCCAGGTTTGTGGGGGTTTTGTTCGTTCGTTTTTGTTTTTGAGATAGGGTCTCTCTACATAGCTCTGGCTGCTTTGGAACTCATGATGTAGACCAGGCTGGCCTCAGACTCACAAAGATCTGCCCATCCTGGTTTGTGATTTGTAATCTCAGCTCTCAGAGGAAGACAGGCTAGTCCCTGGTGCTGCTGGCCACCCAGCCTAGCCTCACCTGGGAGCTTCAGGTCAGAGACCTTTTCTCACAAAATGAGACACCTTAGGAATGACACTTGAGGTCGACCTTGGGCTTCCACACGCATGTGTAACTGCACACGCGTGCACATGATCATGTATATCCAGCACAGCCACCTACAAGAGGCTGTTGGTTAGGTGTATCCTCAACTACAGTTAGAGGATAGCCTGTGGTGATATATTGTGTACCCTAATAAAATTTGCCTGAAGATCAGAGAACAGAACAAACCATTAGATTAAACATAGAGGCCAGGCAGGGGGGGCACATGCCTTTAATCCTAGCACTCGGGAAGTACACACGCCTTTAATCCCAGGAAGTGATGGCTGGCTGCAGAAAGGTATATAAGGCCCGAGGAGACAGGAACAAAAGCTTTTTGGCATTAGCGTCCCCTTTCGGCTGGAGGCTTTTTCGGCTGGAGTCTTTCGGGTGAGGACTCAGAGACATTCAGTCAGGGGATTGGTGGAGTTGGTGAGGTTGGCTGTGGCTTGTTCCTTTGTTTCTCTGACCTTTTAGCATTTACCCTAATATCTGGGTTTGGGTTTTTTTATTATAACACCGTTTAGAATTCAAACAAAAATAGCCTGGGGCAACATGAGATTTTTGTCTTAAAAAAAAATTCAGAGGCTGAGTATAGTGGCAACCAAGAGGTAAAGGGGGACAGATCTCTGAGTTCAAGACCAGCCTCGTCTATATAGTGAGTGCCAAGCCAGCTAGGTCTAGAGACCTTGAATTTTAAAAATAAAAAAAAAAAAGAAAGAAAGAAAGAAAAGGAAAACTCACACAGGACCTCAGTATGTAACCCAAGCTCGAGTCTCCTCACTCAGCAGCAGCCCAAGTCACCATGCTCAATTTGGACCTTTTCTTTTGCCTAAGAGTGTGACCTAGCATGTGAGGCCCTGGACTCTATCCCCAGTACTGAAAAAACAAAAACAAACAGAAACCCCCGTGATCCCTAAATGTTAAATAAAACTATTACAAAGACTCTATCTGGACCTCAACCCTCAAGAGGCAGAGGCTGGAGATGGCTCAGTGGCTAAGAGCACTGGCTGTTCTTCCAGAGGTCCTGAGTTCAGTTCTTAGCACTCACAGGACAGCTCACAACTGTCTAACTCTAGTTAAAGAGGATTCAATGCTCTCTTGTGGTCTCTGTGAGCTCCAGGCACGTATGCAAGTAAAACACCCACACACAAAACACTAGTGAGAGCCGCCCCCCCAAAAAAACAAACCCCACAACCATGGTCACATCAAATTATACAAAAAGAAAAACCAGGTATTAAGAATGAAATTCTCAGCTGTGGCTCTTGACTTTTCCTGTCTCTATTGCTGTTGGGAAGTGAAAGTCCACGAAAGATCTATGGGCATGTGCCTTCTTTCTATGTGTCAATATGAGGTGATCCTTAAATGTGAACAGAGTAGGTATAGTGAGTGACCCGGCCCTGTGGTCTCAGCACCTGGGAGGCTGAGGTAGGAGGGACGTGAGTTCAAAGGCACTCTGGGCTATACAGTGAGTTCCAGGCCAGCCTCGGATCCACAAGACCCTATCTAAAAATATACCACAGGGAGAGAGAGAGACAGAGACAGAGAAAGGTAACCACTCGAGGAGGTGGGATCTGTCTCACTGTTACACACTCCATGTATTTTGCTGTATCAGTGAACAAGGCCAACAAAAGATCCAGGAGGCTGACCCACGTAGGTGTCCAAGACGATGCAACCAGGCTCATCAGGGCCCCTTGGACCTTCTGCTCGTAGTTCCATGATCCACGCAGAGCTCTAAGATCCTGATAAGATCTTGAGGATGAGTCGTCTACACTCTCTCCTAGACAGCTTTCTTCTCAGTCTGTGGCGCCCCCAGGACCAAACTCTGTTGCTACTTGGCTCAGAGAACTGAACTCAGAACTACTTGGCTCAGAGAACTGAAGACCATTCCCACAGAACACAGCAGAAGGAAGCCCAAGGATGGGATTCTGGGAAGAAGGCGACGCTGTGTAACGTTATTTTTTATATAAATTATTTTTATTTATATGGCATACAAAAGGTATAAATATGATTTGTGTAAAACCGATCACCTGCACATTCAAGCAGAGCCCATGGAATAGGAGTATACAGCTCTCCAAGCCAGAGAGAAAGATTAGAACCAGTGGCCCACGGTCCCCCCACCATTTAATGGGAGACAAATGAACAACTTTCTGCTTAACAGAGGTGGCTTGCAGGGACAGTGGGTGGTGGCAGAGGTGTGTCAGGCTTCAGAGCACGTTTATGAACAAGGCACTTGGTGGGAAGCATGCCTGAGGCAGAACCAGTGACATCTGAAGGGAGAGACAGGACACCGGGTGAACACAGGCCTCCACTTCCCAGATCTTCCGCCATCATGAAGAGGTTTGATACCGAGCAGGGAGCAAGAGGGTGCAGGGGCGAAGGAAGGGACCTCCTCCACACCGCAGGACCAGGGAGCAGCAGCCAGCAACCTTTTGCCCACGCTGGGAAGCAGCTGGGAGTGGACCACCACTGAAGGCAAGGCCAGAGTTCTGGAATTCTCAAGTTCAGGTCCATCCTGGGCTGGTGAACTGGAGGAATCTGTCATGATTTGCAGGTAAGTGTTCATGATCTCAAAGCCTCGGTGACGGGGCGTCTGCACTGTTGGGCCAGGCTGAAGGCCAGAGGACAAAGTTGACCTGGCGAGGCCTGTGGAGTGTCAGTGAGGCAATCCTGTCTCCCCTTCCACTAGATTAAGACTCTGGAGAGCAAGACTTTCAGAAGTTTGGCCGGTCACTCTGCCGAGATCGCTGCCTACCACCCTGCTCTAAGGACACAGGAGAGGGAGGCTGGGGCATGAGAGCCCTCTCAGACCCCAGGAACAAGCTAGTGCCACACGACCCAGGAAAAGAAAACATGACCACTGGGCGGAGCTTTCCTAGCATTGATGGCAGGTGACACTCTACAGCCATCATCACCACGAGGTAAAAGTGATCACGAGTGTATTCAGCACAAGTACCTCTTAAAGAGTCGGTCTGGAGCCGGCCGGTGAGGGCGCACGCCTTTGATCCCAACACTCAAGAGGCAGAGGCAGGCAGATCTCTGTGAGTTCAGGGGCAGCCTGATCTACAGAGTGAGTTCCAGGGCATCCAAGGCTGTTATACAAAGAAACCCTATCTCGGGAAAAGTAAAACAAAACAAAAAATAAAGTCAGTCTGCTGCTCCTAAAGAGCAAACTGTGCCATCTCTCTACTTATGTTCTGGAAGACACTCCAGTTTCAGAGTATAAGGACACACTGAGGCAGGCCGGCAAACCAGAGTCACGGGCCAAACTAGGCCAATGCCCACTTTGTAAATAAAGTTTTATTGGGACACAGCTACAGTCTTTGTGCACCAACTGGCTATGGCTGTTTTTGTGCTAAAGATGCTAACTGGAGACAGTGCAAGAGACGCTGTCAGACCACTGGCTGGCAAGTCTGCAGGCTCCTGTCTTAGAAGCCAAAGGCATCCAAGGGAAGAGCCCCTGTTTGCAAGGGTCTTCAAAAAAGGAGGCCCAAGTGTTTAATATGAGAACCTGATTCTGTTGGGAGTGCCTGAGCACAGGGAAGCTACACTCGTCACAGTCTGTTGTGTGCAGTCAGGAGTCACCAGTGTGCCCAGGTGTCCACTTCCCTGCGCTTTAAGCCATCTCTCCCCCTCTGAAGACCACATGTGGTCTCTGAAGCTCAGAGAAGGCATGAACGAGTGTGTGCAAGCATGCGTCCACGTGTATAAACACGCACGCACGCACGCACTCGATCATCCCCGAAAGGAGCAGACTGTTGCTGCTCTTCTTGTGCTGGGGCAGGTCAACGGCAGCCGCTTTCTGCTCCTGAAGGCTCTGTGGTGTGGAAGTTTCCTCCTTGCTGCTCCTCATTCACACGCCAGCTTGCTGTCAAAGCTGGACAGCCCGATGGCGAAGGCTTGAAGTGCACACAGCGGGTAGTTATAGTCCAGTGTGAACACATCATCAGCCACACGTCCAAACTGCATGACTATGTAGTCAGCTGGAAACAGAGAGAAACGAACATGTTAGAGGTTAACGTGGTGGGTACTGGGGATGGGGCAGACTAACTCTTTAAAATGGCAACTAAGGGCTGGAGAGATGGCTCAGCGGTTAAGAGCACTGGCTGCTCTTCCTGAGGTCCTGAGTTCAATTCCCAGCAACCACATAGTGGCTCACAACCACCTGTAATGAGATCTGGCGCCCTCTTCTGGCCTGCAGGGATACATGCAGACAGAATACTACATAAATAAATAAATAAACCTTTAAAAAATAAGATAAAATGGCAACTAAGAAGAGGGGAAACAGCTCAGCGGTATAGCACCTGCCTGGGATGTGGGAGGTACCAAGTTCCACTCCTGCACACACTTGTAATCCCTGAATTCAGGAGGATGAGGCAGGAGGATCACAGCTCCACTGGCTGGGTCGACATAGCAAGACCCTGTCTCAAAAAGGTAAAACCGGAAGTTTCTACTTCTGTTCTTCTCTCTATAGACTGGGAAATTATTCCTGACTAACGTGGAGGACAGGGGAAAGCCCAGAGAAGCTGGCGGGAGTCACCTGACTGGCTTCACTGGGGTCACTTGCTCCTGGGTCCTACATGGCCTCACCCAAGAGTTCTTTGCTATGCCACAGAAAGATGCTCACACTCCTCTGGCCCTGTGGCTCCGTCTTTTCAGAGTTCATTTCTTCTGTCACTCCCTGCTGGCATGGTTTCTCTAGCCACTCCTCCAGGCATGGATGGCTTCCCGGCCGGCCGGCCACGGTGGGAGAGCTCATTTCCAAGTTTACACAGAGTACCTTTCCCAGGCGCACCTAGCCCTTCCCTCGCACTTACGGTCATTGCCATGGACTATCTGAAAGTTCTTCACTGACGCCTGAGTGACCCTGCCGTGGAAGTTGAGGACATAGGACTGGGTGTCGTCACTCCACACCGGGGCCTTGTTGTGCAGCTCAATCAGGTTCTCCATGGATTTGTTTTGCCACTTTGAAAGCAAGCTCTCATGTTCCTGTGTGGAGAGAAAATGACTGTCACATCCTCACAATTCTGAGAGTCAGAAGGTGGAGCTTTTCAATTTTGACAGAAAATTGAAGTCAAACATCAGCACAAGCTTTGGGATTCTTTGTAACTTTTTTCTACTTTAAAAACAATTACTGATCTTTGTTTTAATTTTAAGTTACAGACAATTATGAGCCACCCTGTATGTGTGCTGGGAACTGAGCCTGGGTCCTCTGGGAGAGCAGCCAGTGCTCTTAACTGCTGAGCCATCTCTCCAGAGCCAGCTTTAAGATTCTGATGTGCCAGCGAGCCTTTCTTAAGTCAACATCTCCGGAACACCCTTCCCGTCCTGAGGATCTGAGCAGGGGCTCTTCCAACAGCAGAAGAGCCACACACCAGTCTGGTTCAGAAAAAGCAATGCTCTTTTCTCCTTTTTTAACTTGGTCTCTTCTGTGCAGTATTTCCGTATTCAACGTGTACCACTGTCTTCTAGAGAGAGACCCTTGCTGATGGGATATAATTCCTTTTCTGCCTTTGAGACCCAGTCTCACTGTGAATCTATTTTCACTTTACTTACATTTCGCGGCCGAAATGGGATGCGTTCATGATTCATATTCATCCCCGGAATGATCACAGACATTTTCCTAGGACCTTTAAAACCCAGTACATTGGTTTCCTGAAAGACAGTAAAATAAGGCAGAATTTGGAAACAGAAAGGAAGAAGAAACCTCCATCTGTTTTACAGGAAACCTCCTCTGGCACAGAAAATGCTGCCAGCCTTGAGAGCCCGAGAGCAGTTTCAATTCTTTGCTGGAGCTAAATGGAGACTGAGAATTGGACCCAGTAGTCAGGCGTGGCGGCACACGCCTGCACATACATGTCCCAGCACTTGGGAGGTTGAAGTAAGAAGACTGCTTGAGTCCAGGAGTTTGGGGCTAGCCTAGGCAAAGTAGTGAGACCTTGTCAAGGAAGGAAGGAAGGAAAGAAAAGAAAGCCAGCTGTGGTGGCACACACCTTTAATCCCAGAATTCAGCGGGTTGAAGCAGGAAGGTTGAGAGTTTGAGGCTGGCCTGGAATATGCAGCAAGGCTAGGACACACGAGAAGACCCTGTCTCAAAGGGGAAACCAAACCAAAACAACAGCTATGTGAGAGAGAGGGAGAGGGAGAGGGAGAGGGAGAG